CCAGAGTAGAACAATATTTTTTCGAAATAGTTTGCTTCAAAACTCTTAAAACTGTGCTCTCTACAACATATATGAAATTTGAGCAAAACTTGATAAGCTCGATCAACCAGTTTCTGTGAGAATAGATTGTGGTTACTTTAGAGTGGTTCCAATATACCTAAATTGGCAGTATCCTAACAGCTGAATAACTCGACCTAGGCTAGTCATCAGAAGCTCATATTTTTAATTTGACCTTTTCTCGTTGAGAGTTATCATTTTACCCGAATATTGTTGAGTAATTCAACTGGCATGACAAACAGTTTCATTGTTAGTGATGACTGGCTTGAGTTTTTTTCTGTGAAAGAATAAATATCACTCAACCTTCACAATTCAAGCAAAGCTTACAGGTGCCAATTGAGTCTTCGACAAAAAACAGACAGCTAAAAAACAAAAAGAAAAGAAATGTGAAACCCGATGATAGTCTTGAATATTCGAGCAAAGTTCAGGCAACCGAGTGCATGCGAAATCTGTTTTTGTTTCATATTCAAATACAGTGAGATGAACTTTTAATTAGTTTCCACAAATGTAACAAAGGACAAGAAAAGTACGGCTTCAAAACAGTCAGCTTCAAAATTATTTCATCGTCTTCTCTTTTATGATAATTTTAAAAAGACTATTTCTCAAGTTCATAATCTAGCCTATAACTTTCGTTTCAGATTTGATGCTAATTTTGGTTAGAAAAAAACAAGAGAATCTGCGATGAAACAAAGTATATCATTTGTATAAGTCTGGTGTGCAAAAAAATATGCATCGTCTCATCTGACGAAAATAATTAAAACTTATTGGATCAAGAGTCAAGCTAGTACTTCAAATCTTATGTTGCATTTTTTATCTAAATCAGAGAAATATAGCTGATAATAAGACCAAATTCGTATTTATCTTCTTTCTCAGCAAGCGATAAATCTCGATTTCATGCAATAAGAGTCTTCGAGCCAGTATCTCCTTCAATCTCAAACTCTTTTTCTCTTGTTTCTTTTTGGAAAAAAAATTGAGTTTTATTAAAAAGTGCATATTTTCCGAGATTTTTCGATACAATCAAATCCAATAGTTCAGAAATATTTGGACAAAATATGATCACTATATGAGTATTTATATATTGTTATTATGTACCAGTCGAATGGTTTGAAAAGAAGAATCGAATGAGCATATGCAGAAATTTATCCGCATATACACATGCATATCTCAGGGCGTAAAGGTGCGGCTGACATCCTCACATTTTCAGCTCCATCCTAACTCATTTTATCCTCGAATCTCACGGTCATCCAACTTAAGCAGAAAATTTAGTAGATGTCTGAAGGCGTCTTTCAGTCTGAAAGAAGTCGAATGAAGTCAAATAAGTTGAAATCAAATTATATTTTCTGTAAATACCTATTGTTCTAATCTGTCGGGACATTTTTCGAGTAAAATGCTATTTTCTCGCGAAGGATATGTGCTTAAGAGCTGAAATTTTTCTCGCAGTTTTACCATATAGTCATCTAAAAAGGGTAAAAAAATCATGGTCTTAACTCCTACAGTTATCAAGAAATCAAAGAAACAAAATTCAAAATCTGTCGGGATGTTTAACAGAAAAGTAGCATCCTTCCCGCTTATTTTTGGTTTTTAATTTGATCCAGAAGGTCCTTGAAAAAAACATTTTTAAATAAGAAAATAATGCAGTAATAGAAACAAATTTTTTTTTCCTTTTATTTTTCAATTTTCAATTCAAATTTTGAAGGGATAGTAGAATTTTCGATCTTGACTGTTTTTAACAAGCTGGTAAGAGCAGTCATCATCAGTAGAAATATTCAATAATCTAATCCATAAAACAGTCTATAAAACCAATCCATAATGTAAAATCTTTGATCTAATCCATTTTATAGATTATTTTATGGATTAGATTATTGAATATTTGTACTGATGATGACCGCTCTTACCAGCTTGTTAATAACAGTCAAGGTCGAAAATTCTATTATCTCTTCAAGATTTAAATTGAAAATTGAAAAAAAAAGGAAAAAAATTTTGTTTCTATTACTGCATTATTTTCTTGTTTAATATACACAAAAAACGTTTCTGACTTTTCTCAAGTTACACTGATATAACTTTTTTCTTACAAGATTTCTCGCTCTTTGGTCTATCGAATATTAAAAGTAAGTTCGTGTTTGCCTTTAAATTGGCTTTAGTAGATTGAATTAATCTGTCGAGACATAAATCGCCAAAGTGTATGTTTAGATAGTTTCTGCAAGATTTGATCGGTAGATCCAAAGTGAAATTATTTTCTGTTTATATGGTCAGAAAGAGAATAGTCTTAGCTACAAAGTGGTTGTCAGAAATTATTTTTATTTAGGATTGATCAGAAAAACGCCAGGAATCTAAATTTGATGAGCTTCAGTAAGGATCGGAACCGGCAAAAAACTAAAAAAATATTTTCAAGTTAAGTATGAAAACAGTTTTTCTGTATGGGCACTATATCTGAATAGTACATTAGACAGAAAGCAGCACGCAAAGAATTTATATTCACACTGTCTCAAGCAAAATTGAATGAAATAAAATGAATTTTTCTATTGCTGTGTGTCCTTGTGTTTGAAATTCTCTAGTCTGCATATCTTCTGTCATAAGTACAACTATTTGTTTCAATGAGTGAAACATAAATCGACTAGATTCTAAGTGTAAACAGAAGATGATGGACCGGAGAAGTAGACGTCACTATGAAAGCGGCTAGCCATGAGTGGCGCCCCGAAGAGGTGCCGACGAAGAAGTAGTTGCTGGTCTGTACCATTAATCGGAGGTGAGCTTCGCAGAGTGTCGTAGTTCATAGAAAAATAGCCTATCTTTGTGGTTCAATCAATTGGTATCATACGCAAAAGCGACAAAAACTAGCAAATTTTTCTCTAAATCAGTTTCGAGAAAAAACTTTTCTGCAGAAGTGAAACATCTTGAACATGCATTTGACGAAATGCATGTGTTAGCGCATTTGTATTAACATATCTTCTATGTGGATAAAAAATGCGGATGTTTCGTGATCTAAATTGAAAAGATAATCGCTTTGAAAACCAGTCTGAAAATAACTGAGACACTCATATAACATTAAAGGCTTGTTTCGCAAACGGCAACGATAGAAATCGAACGTCAAATAATATTACTGAACAAATTGTATATAAATGTTGTGAATTAGAGTGCGAAGCGATTTATATGCATTTGTGGAATATCATTAAACGTTGGTTATAAAAGAGAAGCAGCAATTAAATACTACGGTAACACTTAGTTAACTTGGACATTTGTTACTTTACTCAAAGGCATTCTTTAAATAGATCTAGTTTCAAATTTCTCATTGAGAAGTTTTTTTTATAGTAATAGAATAGTCTTTCGTAAAGTGTCCCATGAGAGTTGATTGAATTGCAATCTGAATTGGACGATTAGTTGGTATAGGAGATGTAAACATGGTAGCGACTAGCCGTGAGTGGCACCTCAGAGGACTGCCGACGATCGACTAGTCGCTGGCCTGTATAATTTATTTAAGGCACGCATTTTTTTTACAATATCCAATCCTTGTTCATTTAACCATTTCTACTTTCCTGCTTTTGTAATTAATAGTGAAAGCATTAAGAGTGTGATATGCAGAAATTTCGATATGACGCGGAACATTTAGAAATATCTTGAAATTGAAGTCATAGCCGATAGTTAACGATGGAAACTTCTCGTTAGCATTCTTATCAAGAATTATTTTGCTATAAATCAAATAGTTTTCTGCGAGATATGTGTCAACGTCTCTTATTTACAGGTAAATCATTTGTTTGTAGATGTATCGAAACCAATCTATGAGCAGGAAGCTAACGACTAGCAGGTAGTGATCTATTGCTCGTGAGATATTTCACAGATATGAGTGTAAAATTAATCAATCGAGGGGCAGCAGTCCTACATTTTTCTGATCTTTTGAACATGCATGATGAACAATGAATGTTACAGTTTCAACAATAAATATTATTTTGAAAAAATAAAGAATTAGTTAGAATCAAATGTTATTGTAGCATCAGTAGCATCGCATACATCGGCGAATTATTTGACAATAATTCCCAAGATGAATAGAAAGAGTTCAGTCGAGGGTCAAGCGAGTCGTAACGACGAGCGTTATCTTGTATATAACGAATCGTACGTCAGTAAAGTTCGATGGTTCTAAATGTCTTATTCGACATAAATAAAATTTATTTGAAGACTTCTCTTAGTTTTTTTACTCAGTCAAAGAATAACTGTACAACACACTATGTACAGACTTAGTCTTAAACAGAACATACTAGGTTTTTTGAAAGCACCTGAAGGATGTATTCTGACATGGTTTTTATCGGAACGTATTTTGATAAAATGTTTCATTATCTATTGTGACTTTTTAAGGATAAAATTGAGTGAATGAATCAATCACTAAAATACACAAGTTCTAGATATTATATTTTGGGTGTGAGTGCGTTTTGATTTACTCCACATCCATAGTCGCCCATTTCATTGATCTATTTTGTGTCACATTCATCAACAATCTTTTTACATATTACCCAATAACTAGAATCAGGACATAGTTCATTTATTATGACAAGATATTCTTGTTATACGATCTTTGATTGTGTATCAAGAACGCTTAGAATAGACCGTGGCGGAGTTTCACGGTGTCTGTCACTCTCTATGGATGGAATGGGGAAGAGGGCGATTCCAAATTTCTGTCCTGTACACTTCAACACTCCTCTTACATCGTGTTTCACAAAAATGTATCAAGTATATGTTCAAGAATCTAATTGGATTTTTCCACATTCAGCACTTTTTTTTATCACACTAAAATGAAAATTTGAAAAATAAACTTACCATATTTGCTTGTATAGTTCTTTTGTTTTGTTTTCTTCAATTGTAATTTTTGTTGTCATAAATAAATAGCTATCGATAAGTGCTTGCTTTTCTGAATTTGAAAATAATAATAGAAAATACATTTCATAAAAGTTAGTCATAGTCATTTGAAATGCATCATAAAATGAACGTGCATTAGCTGCTATTGTATTATTTGTAATTAAATCAATTCTCCAATCAACAAAAGTACTTTTATCGTTAACATTTTCAATAAGATAAGCTATATTCTTTATCATGATATCACTTAAATCTCTATGTTGATTGTAATTAAAATACTGCAATAATTCATTACGTCTTTTATTGATATCATTTTTTTTCGTAGTATTTGTGATATTATAACGAAACAGAGATAAGCATTTATCAAATAGATCATAAAATTGTAAAGAAAATAATCTTTCATTGATTATATTCTGATATGATGGTTGTTGAAACACATTGTATTGTAGGATTTGTTTTTGCTCATTATCATTAAGATTTTCAATCATTATATTTGACCATCCATTGAATAAAATATCATTTGACATACGATTAAGAACATTTCGTTGTAAATGAAATATGATCCATATGTATTTAGACTGATTATTTTTAAATTCATTATAAAGATTAACAATATTATGTTTTAATGATAAGATATGATCACGATCATTATAATAATCGACACGAATTAATAGCAAATATATATTCGTTGTTGTTGTTTTATCTATCGTTGTATTCATTTGAAAATGTACTTTCATTTTATTAATTAATTCTAATTCCGTTTTGAAATTAGCCAATTTAACTTCATCAATATTTATGTTGATATTTTTTGGATAATTAATATTATCATAAATCTGTGTGTAAGTATAAATAATTTGTCGATTCATATTTGATGAAATATTTTTGAATAGATTTTCAAGAGTTGAATTCTTTTTTAACAGATAATATTGTTTACATAAATCTGCATATTCTTTCTTGTCATTTTCATTTTGTAATGATAGTAATAATGGTAAATCTGAAGAAGCAACATCGATTAAGATATTTTTACAATGATTGATAACATTATCTTGATCTCTTTGATCTAATTCAAATGCATCTATGACAAGACTACATACGTAATCACAATTGAAATTAACAAATATATGTTGTAATTGTATAAAATGTTTTGTACCTATTTTAATAGTTAATAAACGTTCCAACCATAATAATAGATTTTGTGTTATTGTTAAATGTAATGGTTCAATTAAATCTTTGAATTGAACTGTATGTTTTTCGAAACGATTCAGAAATGGTGGATCTGATTTTTCAACATCTTTAGCATTAACTAATACAATACAATAAAATTTATCATTAACTAAACATTTTGGATGATATGTTGATCCTAAGGCAATACGACAATATTTTTTTTGTCCAGATATTGAAAAACTTTGATTGTATAAATCATATAATGATGAATAACATTTATCCATTTTTCGCATTATTAATGTTAGTGGTTTTTCAGCGTATAAAATAACATCCATTAATATACGATAATCATATGTTTCACTATTAAGATCATCTTTTATTTGACTTCCAATTAATGTTCGAATATTATTTGCAATTTTATTCAAATATCTTTCAATATAATCAATAAGACTATTAGAATCAGAAATCAACATGAGATAACGACCACTACGATCTTTTAAACAATAGTCCAATATTTCTTTGAAATTCGGTGACTCATATTGATTAATTAAATCTTCATGTTTTGTATAATAACAAAAACGTTTCCACATATATTCAGAACCATCAACAATACCATCGAAATTAATTGTTAGTTGTTTACGAATAATACCAAACAACGTTTTATTATCAATGGTTTGCTTTAATTCTTTTGATATACGATCGAACTCTTTTACAATGCCTTTTATTAATGAATAAAAATCACGAAGACCAAAATAATTTTCATGAGATGGATTTTCCTTCAATTTATAACGTAATTCAAGATAGGAATGTGCTAAACCATTCATAATATCATCATTTAATTGCATATATTGATTTTCATTTATACTTTTATGTATTGTTATTGCTGTCAATTGAAGATCTTCAATTGTTGGATCTGGACATGCTAAATATAAGGCACGATTCATTTTTGATGCATCTAATCTCCAATTGGATATAGCAACAAAACCATATTTACAATTTTCAATTTCTAATTCCTTATGTAATACTTTAAGTGGATTATATGGTGATAATTCAGCTAAACCAATTTCATCAAAGACAATAACTGGTAATAATTCTGTTTGTGTTTTAGCAGCACTATATTTTTTAGCACGTTCAAATATCATTTGAATACTTTCTGATTTACATGATTTTGTTCCTTGATATGACACAGCAATTAATTCTGGTAATTGTTCAAAATACGAATCATTCGATTTTTTTCCTTTTAAATTACTTATTATTATTTGAATAGCTAATGTTTTGCTACAGCCTGGTTTGCCACATAAAATAACCGGAATACGATTTAATATGCAAACAAACATAACAAATAAATTATCACGTAAAGCACGATTAATTGCTGTGCCAGTTGGCTTTTCTTTCATTCGACTTATTAATTCATCTTGTTCTTGTTGTAATATTTGCTCAATAATCTTTTCATTTGTTTGATTAAATGACATTGCTTTTTCAAGCATATTTATGTATTTAGTTTTCTCAACAGATGAACTTAAACGAAAGTAATAGCATAGCATTAATGATAAAATAGATGATTTAAATATTTTATCTCTTATGGACAAATTAGTTTTACGTTTATCAAATGTATCGTAATACCAATTATATATCAAACGATAACGTGATACATCTCGTAGACTGACACTAGAAACATCTTCAATATTTCTTAAATGAAGTTGAGATTGACAAACACCATTAACAATTGTAGTGAATAATTGTTGTTCATTTGCTAAATTTGTACATGTTCGAAGAATTGCTTCAATATATTTTCGTTCTGTAATATTATCAAGATGACCATAATCATATATGTATTCAATCATTGTTTCTGGTGTAGGTACTACAGTATACAGTAAATGTTCTCCCGAAGTAGGTTTTTGTATTTCATAATTTTCTCTTTTTATACCGATATTATCATCAGAACGATTTTTTTCCGCTTTAAGTCGACGAGGATTACATGCAGCCAAGAAAACCATATTGCTCGGTAATTGTTTACCTAACAATGTTCGTTCACACATTATTTCTTTAAATAAGCCAACATTTTTTGTTGTGTTAAATTCATCAAAAAATATCCATAATTGTTTTCCAATTTTAGCTAGTTGATCAGCTCGTACAATTTGATATTCTAGAGTATCAGTTATATCTCTATTTGTAATTCCAGCATGAATATGAAAAATATACAATTCATCATCCAAAATTTTATGACATAAAAAGTTAATTAATGCTGTTTTACCACAACCTAAAAAGGCATGATTGATAATATGTACATCAATACATGACGAGAAAGCATGATAAAAAAAAGCATTATTCGATAGTTAGTAGATGAATTATACTACTCATAATTTTATTTATTCTCGTTATAATGACGCCCGAAAAAAGTCTCGTAATTATTCTGGACTTCCCTCTTTTTTATATAGTTTTTCTAATAAATACAACTAATATCCTGCAATTGGATCGAGTTCAACTTTGAGATCATACTCGACATTCGATTCAGCAATGAATGATAGCATGACATTTCACAATGTTTTTAATTTTTCTAACTACTATTTATATAAAAATTTACGAACAGGCATAGAAATGATAACAATATTATTTTACTAAGAGAATTCGTTTTTAATGAAAATTCATCTATAGATAATAAGTAACTATATGACGAAGTAACTGAATGCATAGGGACAAGAATGAACGATCAAGAAGGTGAACATCTATTGTCTTGTTGGGAAAAACATTCATGTATGCATACGAAAGTGTGACGTTTGATAGCAATAGTACATGTCCCATTCAAACGTCATCAACAACAAACAAACATAGTTAGCAAAATTAGTCGGATTTTAGAAGTAGAAAGATATAAAGGAAATCAAACAGTACACATTTTCGTACACAATAAAAGTTGAACAGCTATACTATAACTGTGAATGTATCTGCTGAATGTCAATTAACTCGGTTCAGAATCTAAGTTTTAAAAAAAAGGGTACCGATCCGAGTTCGAATGCAAAAAAAACTGTACTCGTACAGGATATTAAAGATAACATCGTAGTTTGAACAAAATTTTTGGTCGTACTACTGTGTTGTATCGTTACAAATATAGATCTACAGATATGTTAATAGTATTCATTTCAAATTTACCTGTTTCACCCATAATAATAATAGGTACGTCACTACTAACTCTCAACCATACTAATAGCATTTTGATATAATTATCAGGTGTTATCACATATTCTCGTTCCAGTATTTGACCCATTTCTTTTTGAAATTGTTTTATATCATTAGTTTCCGTTGATTTTGGTTTTTTTAATGACAATTTACATTCTGTACATGTGCTATCTTTATATGGATATTGTTTAAAGCATTGCTCACATATTGCTTTATTCCAATATTTGTTCGATAATGAAACTAATTTAAAGAAAAGATCCAAATGATTTAGACGATTATAATCAGTAAATATATCATTTGTTCCTTTTGCTAACCATTGATTGCTTTTTCTTGATAGAGCCTGGAAATATAATTGTAATGACTTTGGAACATCTCTGGGTGTTTTATATACAAATAATGGATCATTTGAATGTGTAAAAACAATAGTAAATGGTTGTATTGTATCCCATCTTACAATTGATTTATTTAAAAGATCATTAATTTGTTCACTATTCTTCAATGTTACTTGATTTTCACGTACAGATTTAACTGATATTGATGTAAATTGATTTGAAGAATCAAGAAATGCTTGTATAATATCCATTCGTAATTGTGGTTCTTGTAGCGTATTAATAAGAAAATATCCACACTTTGAAAATCCATTGAATAAATGATAAAATACATTAATAAATATTTTCAATTGTGTCCATGATAAATATTTTTTATCTTTATTTTGAATAAAATATTTATTCATTAAGTCAATACAAATATGTTGATTTATTGATTGTTCAGGAACAACATCTATTTCCTTATCTTTAATTATTTTCTTGTCAATAGCATATAAATAACGTGTAACATAATGTAAACGTGCTTGTTCGTACAAAATATTATTTAAATTAAATTCATTGATTATTGTTGAGTCTAAATAACGAAATATATATATATCTTGATTTAATTGGAAAAATGATGATGATTCTAATTCAAAATAAAATAATGTATTTATTGGTAAATAGATAACTGTTTGTGAAAAACAGTAACTACGAAATAAACATAAACAAAAGAGAATTGAATTCAATAAATTGATATTTTCTATTGAACCAACATCAAAATGAATTGCATTTGGCATACCAATTAATAATAATCGTGCACCAATTTGATCAAAACTCGAATCACCCATAATAGGAAATTTAATCAAGTTTCGATTAGATTTTTGTGCATGATTTTGAATGAATGTCGTTTTACCTAAACCTGCTATTTTTGATGACACAATATGACAATTTTTCACTAGGTTTTTGACATATTTGTTTAAGTCACCTTCATTTAATAATTCGTTATCACGTACAATTTTAGCTATATTCATGCGTAATATTCCATTAATTAGATGAGTTTGAATGTCAGTTGTTACAATACTTAATTTAAATTTATTTGATGGATCATGTTCAATTAACTTAATGATCAATTGACAACATTTATCTTGTACATTAAATTCCAATTGTTCAGGTTCAATGAATTGATATAAATTAGATGATGAATAAAAACAACGATAAATAAAAGCTCGAACATCTATCCAGTTTGTTTCTGTTGTACAAAATAATATTTGATTTACTGCAGGATCGCTATTATCATGATGAAATAAAGATAAAATCGCTCGATATCTACCTTCAATTGATGTTTCAGTTATGAAAATTTTTCCTCCTTGCCTGTCTGTAGAGATTGATTGTTCAGATACTAATGACGATTTGATTACACTTCTACGTTGCTCATTTAAAAATTTTCCAAGATTTTCTAATCGTTCTTCAGGTTTTAAATTTTCATTTATAATAAATTTCGTTGAAACTAAATTTTCAATTTCGATGTATTTTAATAAATGATAACCTTGATCTTGTGATTTCAATTCTTTATAATTTTGTAAAGCCTTTTCAACAGTCCAAAATTGTTTTCCTGATAGATAAGTTAACTCAGGATAACGTTTGTATAGGTCAATTAAATTTCCTTCCCATAGTTTAACTATGTTTTTCAATGACACATTCAATTGACTTAATTCTGAAAAATCGCATTCAACACATTTATATACGTTTTCTGAGTATTTTTCAATTGTTGGATAACCCATAGCATTCAAATGATTTAAATTGTCCAATACATTTTCAATAACATCAACCAATGACACGAAACATCGTAGAAACTGTTTTTCCTCATCTTTTGTATATTTTCGTGGTACATTTTTTTCATTGCCAGAATATTCTATTAATCTTGCTCTATCCCGTAATTCATGTAAATTATAATAATTAAATTGTCCACCTTTATCTGGTTTCACACAAACATCATATTTCTTTGTGTTATCCTGTTGAGGATGTTGCTGATATTTTTCAATAATTTTCAATGATGCATTATTAATAATATGAAATATTTTTGTACGTTTCGATTCTTCTATATCATTCAATTGTAAATATAATCGTTGAATACCAGGCAATGCAGATAAACATGTTTGAAAATAACTGATTATATCTGCATATTCTTTTTGTTTTAATAATGTGTTTATATATGATAAAATATCATTTAGTGTTTTTGATGCTTGTTCATGGATGTTACTATAATTATTAATATTGGTAAGAAAGTATCCTAATTGAACAAAATCAATAATCGTTTGTGTTGTAATGAATGATTCATCCCAATCATTAACTGCTTCTAATAAATTATCCATATCAGTTTGGTTTAGTTTTGTAACAAACTTAACAAGTTCTTCTGAATCGTTATAATGTGAACAAACATCTAGCACTTCTTGAGAGTACTTTTTAATAATTCTTTCGTTAAATTGTTGATAATTGTTATAGCACATATTTCCGTTTGTAGCTTCAGTCGTTTTACCTAATAAGGATAAAAATTTATAATCATCTGATAAATTATACAATTGTATTAAACGATCCATTCCTTCACACCATTTATGAATATAATCTTTTTTACTCCAATAATCAAGAATACAAGTTAAAGGTGCAATTGCATTTGGTTCTAAAAGACTAGTTAATAATTGCATTTCATTTTCAATCAAATTAATATCTTTGAAAGTCATAATTATTGTTTGAATTGGAATAGTTTTCCATTGTTTTGAAATCGATTGAAGATGTTTCGTAAAATGTTGGAATAAATCACATGTGTTTTGCAAAATATCGAGACAAGAATTGATTGGTATCTCTGTAGATGGCTGTTGTTTTTCAACATTCACCGGTTCATCCACTGAGTTTCCTAAGCAAAATATTTTTATATGCATCTCCAAAAGAGAATAGAGGTGGAGAAAAGTGCGATAAGATTTCAAAAATGAAATACAAATGCATTTGCTTCTATCTTTCAAACAGATCTAGAAGAATCTTTACTTCTATGCATTGCAGCAGAACTAAGAGAGTGAAAACTGTAATAAGAAAATCATATTTCAACTAGAAACATGTTATTACTATGAATCAAAGCCAATCTTTTTACTGCACCAAATTTTAATAGGAACTTCAACATAATATCATACACATTTTATTTGATCACATAATCCGATTAGTGTTAGTTGTTTGAATTATTTCCCTTCGTTTATCGTAAAGTAGAGTCCTGTGTGGATTAGACCTATCAAACTCGAAATCTGCCAGAAACTTTTATTCAAATGCGACTTCAAACTGACCCGAAAAAATAGTCAAGAATGATTTTGTAGAACTATTTGATGATGAAAATGTAGAGGAAGAGAAGATTTATCTAACCTCACATCCAATTTCAAACAGTTCAGACTACTCAGCTGTTGCTTATAAAAATGATAAGAATGAAGCATTAACAAAAATTTTGACGGGAATAGTCGAGCTTATTGAGAGGATAAAATTGGTTCAACTTATGATTCGAATCCTTTGGATCAAAAAATCAGTATTCGCATTCTAATTATGAAACAAAGTAAGCAGAGCTTTATCAACTAGGATTATATTTCGTGTTGATTGACTATATATGTAATCTTACACTATGGCGAACTTTCTTGTAAGTCTTCGACTATAATATGAACCGATACAATCATGTAATTATTTGTATATGAGATCAATGAGACGATATTGGAGAAAAGATAGAGTACTGAAAATTAATTGAATTATACAGCATGTAATCAAGCAGCTGAGTACGAAAAATATTGAGAGAACAATCGATGATCTCGCTGTTATAAAGATGGATCACTTAGCACGTACCGGATCTCGAACAAATTTAAGGGAGAATCACTTTCTTAAATAATTTATCGTTATCATCGTGGGCAAATAGTTAATTGTCTTAGAATACCATTACACTTTGATAGATAATACTTGACAGTGCTGCGCGAAAATACAATATATTTGTTACATAAATGTTCGAATGGCATTATTGTTTGGTAATGGAAAACTCATTTGCAGATACGAACTTAAATGGGATAGATCATACAATACTGTTAAACACTAAGTTCCCCTACTGAAGATGTTGCAATCAAAGAGTCGTCCGTGTAATCAAAATTGAGGCATTATATTAATCAAATAGTTCTCTCTGCTTAGAATTTGATGAAGAGAGCGTTTCTCTTTACTCGGACGAGAGATGAAGTGATCTTTACAATGCAAATAGAACGACTAACCGCAGCAGCAACATTAGCCATGGAGACAGAAAAGGTGAAGAGATCAGATCAGATCATGCATGAATATCAAATAGAGGAAGAGAGAACGTGGAGGATAATTCATACTTTCCTATGCTACTCTAAGTTTTTTTATATTAGATTACCAAGTTTTCAATATAACGATGACATCGAAAATTTAAGTTTTAGAACAGCAAAGAATTATTGCATTGAGTTATTTTATCCTCGTAGTGATACTTAGAAGGTTTTGATTTTTAAAAAGAAGAAAACAGATCTTGCTACATTGCTTGTTTTAACTTTCTTCTCTCGAGTGATGCGGACAAGAAAAGTGATTAGTCAAGATATTGAATTATTGTTGTGTAAACAAGAATACTACTATTCATAAACAAATACTCCAATCCGACTTCATTCCTAATCGTACCCAAACATGATCTAAACTTCTGCTCAGATCGTGTAGACTCAAGTCGCAGAACTTTGTCTCGAGGTAGCGGTCGTTCATAAGATAACTATCCTCTATCCTTTTTTCTAGCCTGTGAATGCATGGCGGCCAAAATTGTTGTGCATATAGATACAAACCCTGGGATAACTTTCGAGGCCGTTGAGTTTGATTGTTAGAAGCAATGGATGAATGTTTTTGTTCGTGAAGCTGTTCACTATCCGAAATTTTTTCAGATTTTTCTGTTGCTGTTGTTGAACCTAAAAAATAATAAAAAATCAAGATTTGTCCAAACTCTCTTCTTATTTACAGCTCATTATAATAGTAAACTTATTTCGCATAATGATGAAAAATAATGCTGAAAAAAGAACGTAGAAGGAACAAGTAGACGAGCAGTATTGATTTAACAACGCTATTGACACTTCTAAGATCCGTTTATTAAAATGAGTACTGTAACCTGACTACCTAACAATCGTATTTATGTTTGACAAAACTTTGATCAAGCTTACTTTTATTAAAACTGTTTTGTTGATTCTGCCGAAACGATAGCCATGTCTTTGATAAATTGTATGGATTTAACACATCAGCAAATGGCACTAATCTAGAGATCTCATTAGGTATTTGGATGCGTTTAATAACACCAGTTGTTAATTGTTGTGTTAAATTATCTATTGCTGATTGGTATTGTTGAATGTCATTTGCTTTTTCACAGTACATTTTTAAACATGTTTGAACTTTTTCTTTAATTTTTGATTTTTCTTCCATTTCCTTACATGCATTGTTTAATAATATTTCCATTGATGGTTGTTGGCCACGGAATTGTTGCACATATAGCCATATCCTATCAAAATGTCTTTTTTGAGCTCTTGAAAAGAGTCTTGAATAATTGATATCCTCAAGTCTTATGCCATGTTCTTCCCATCTTTTTAATATTTTTTTTAATTCGTTGACCACAGTGTGATGAATATTAAATTTTCGAAAATGCGGATCAAATAGAACCAAAGAAAGCAATGAGTTTTCATTTGGGTTTCTTACAGCGCCATAATAAATACTATACTCGTCTAGTTTTATTGCATCTGTACATATTTTCATCAGGTCTACTGTTAATTCAATATTTGGATATTTTCTTGCATTTTGCCAAAGTAGGTACAACGGTGAATAAATATCCATCGTTTTCATTCTGTTTAAATTTGTTAGAACAACATTATTTTTGAAGTGCAATTTAAAGACATTTAAGAAATTTTCGTTCCTAACATATAGTCCAATTTCGTTTACTCTCTTAATCATATCAGGTTCCTTTTCAGCGTGGCTAAATAATATTTCATTAATAAATATATCTACGCGTGATATTGACGTTTTATTTTTATTTTCACTTTTTTCTAACATCGGAATTAATATGTCTAATGATTTAATAAGATCAATATAAGTTGGAAGATGATAAATGAACTGTTTCAACCAGCTGTCTAAGAAATATATGAAATTGCTTGCTTCTTCATTCGAATTCGCATAATGTGGATCACAAAGGAAACAGTTGAACCATTCGATATGAAATTCAATTAGAAGACGTGACTCGGTAAAATTATGTTTTGTGAGAGTATTGCTGATATAGTTTGTTTTCTCTATGTACTGTAGTAGATATGGATTGTAGTATTCATTGAATACTTGGTATAGTAAACGTAATTGATTCTTATCAGTAATTCGTAACATCTTCAAATAATACTCAATATATGAGGGTAATTCTTCAGATTGTTCTAAAATATTACGTAAATCATCTGTAGAATCTGTTTTCAATGCTTTGAATAAAATTAGAATATCTTCAAGTGTTAATTCAAAATGATTTTTATGTATCATTGCTTTTAAGTTATTCGAAATATTCTCTTCGATATTTGGTATGCACTTTGAAGTTAAAAGTTTTTCAGCATAATTTATATATTCTGTGAATGTATTTGCTAATTGTAAACACTCAACTATTAAGTGATCATCAGTTGTCATCTTAAACAAATCTAACCAATTCGGTTGTGTTGGTTTAATATTCCATGACGTTATTTTTTTTGCTACACTATCAGCAACTTGTTGTTGGTATTGATTAGAGTGTGGAATCAAATTAATAAATGTTATACTATCATTTTGCCGTGATACACTGTATAGTTGCACCTTGAGACAGAGTAAGTTGGTTAAACCATCGTTTACTAATAACCAATCGTTTCCTTTTATAGAATTGAAAAATGGTTCGATTTTGTTGATGATTGTCTGTAACAGTACATCAATATAGGAAATTGATTCCTTATTTCGTAGCGACCTTTGACCAGTAGACAATAATCCAACCATGCGCACAAGTATAATACTAACGTAAACGATATCATCCAGAGCCTGTCGAATACTAGGTAAATATGTGAAACATTGCTGAAAAAAATAATCAATATCAACGTGTTCAAAAGTTATACATTTTATGCTGAATTGATCAATAAATAGATCATATAAATCAAAATCACCTTTTTTGATTAAAAAATACGTATATTGCCATAATTGATCCCAATATAAAACACTAGTGCAAGGTGGCTTTGAACGCAAGGTTCCTCGTTGAAAATCTACGGAAAATAAAAATTGATGATTCTCTGCATTTACATCCGAAACTTGTCGATTGCGTAATTCTTTTTCTTCCTGATAATGCCAGTTTAACAGGGTACCGACAGCTGATATTCTTAAGTGGTATGAAGTGATTGATTTGGTATCTTGATCTGTCTGATTTGATAACTTCAAAAGGTATAAATATGGTAAATCATCAGTAGGAGAATTTTCTGTTTGCAGATTTGCGATACGTTCAAATACAAACTTTTTTTCATCCTTTTCAGTTAATAATTGTAGATCAAAGTCGTTTGGTGTATCCGATATTAACAAAGCGTAAAAATAAAGATCATCCATCTGCTTTTTTCTAAATTTTGTTCTTTAATAATAGTTTCCAAAATTTGGAAATTATTATTTTATTGGAAAAAAACTGTTTACTATGATCTACAAAACAACGAGATAATAAAAAGAAAATAGACTTAATGTAATAGAAATTGAAGCATACTATTTAAAAAGCAATATTATCATACTACATGGTATGAAAAATACCATGCAATCCTTAAAATATGTATATACTGTCTGAAAAGAAATGCAAAAACGTTTTTACATAAATAGCATGCATCTTACCAAATTCTTCCAAGTTAGGCATTTTTTTCATCACCTTTTGAAGAAAACGGAAAAAACCATAAAATAAATTATTTGTCTATACTCTTTGCACATCAATGAGAGTGTGCACGAATGAAAAAAAATATTATGTCAATATTTTCATAATATGAGTAATGGGTAAATTCATGAAATTTCTACTGCATGATGAAACTTATTTTTCGATTCTCATTTTCTAGTTAAACATACCACAGTCGAAAATGCTGCGAGTTTTCGGTTAAACCTGATCGGATTCAACAATTTTGGACCCAACCAGCAACCGGACTGGATACATACTAATTATATCTTTAATAAGGGTGGGTGTGGGTGTGAGCGTGGGTGTGGGGTGGGTGTGAGCGTGGGTGTGGGGTGGGTGTGAGTGTGGACGTGGGTGTGTGGGTGTGTGGGTGTGGGTGTATTCTTAATTAATACCCACCAACACCCACACTCACACCACACCCACACGCCACAACCACACCCGCACCCACCCGCCCACCCGTTTCGCCAATAAGAAACACTTCTTTGGAAAATAAGGTCGACAGTTTTATGGAGTGAGAAATTCTCTATCGATTGAGCCTAAAAGGGAGCCTTAAATGTCGTGGGAAGTGCTCTGAAAAAGAAGGAAACATTTTGTTCTGTTCTTTATGCATTACCCATTATTATGTATTAGAACAGAAGGAACTACTTCCGCATAACTGATGACGTGGAGTTGAAAAATTCTCAGGAAAATTTTAGAAAATCAGGAGTTGGAACTAGGATGTGACACATTCTGTAAATTTGATAAGCGAAGCGAAGAGGCGGGTAGGTATAAAATAAGGTAGACAGTACACGAGATATGCTGAACGTTAGCAATGGCAACTCAACAGTACGATCAAGTAAGAGTAACGGTTCACTCATCACTGACACACTCTGTAATAGTGATATACAAATGAAGATTTTGCGCCATACATGGAAAGGTTTTTTATTTCATTTTTGGGCAGTTACGTACAAATACAATGTTGATCTCATTGGCATTCTGTGACTATCCGCGTAAAAGCTAAAATAAATATCTAAAGAATTTCAAAGATGATTTGAGAAAATATTTTTATGAAGTGACATTGTATCTATCTGATGGCTAACTGGTGTTTCATAAGGCTTTTGGCCCTGATAAAAATTAGTTTATACGTAAACAAGAAGTAATATCTATCCAATTATTTCTATATGAGCTTTAAAGGTTCAAGTCGACGTTTTGAATGACATACTATTAGCTGACATTATCTCTCTCAATAATACTCACATAAACGAAAGAACCGTGATAATCAAAATTTTGAAATCAATCAGAATTCTGTTTTTCAGAATTTTTTTATAAAACGGATACACAGATGAATGAATCCGATACAGAATTCAATCGGATCCAGCCAGCCGACAAAATCCTCTAGGAATCCGGATGACGAAACCAATAATGAATCCAATAAACACATCCTATTTTCTTACTTGAGTATGAATTAGGATTTTATCCTAACAGTAGAGGCCTACCAGATCATATGATGGGATTCAATCGGATTCCGATAGTAGGATCCGATCAGATCCAACACTAACGATCCGAATGTCGGATCGTTCCCTGAAATCAGATAGAATTTCGTCGGTTTTCTAGAAATCCCAATAGAATCATGATCGAATCCGACAGGAATTCAGTTGTTGGAATGATTCTTCTAGGTAACACATTTTGTATAATAGAATAATAGTAGGTGATATATAGTTACCATGATTGCATATTTTAAAGGTGTTACGAATCTTTGTTGACGTAATCATTTATTGTCTATTCCAAATAACCTATCTAAGGTGAACAAAAACATGAACATATTGTGTATAGGCGGCAAGACTTGTTCTGTACTTAATATGTTTATGTTGTGCATCTTCGATAGTTTATTTGAGGTATAAATCAAATGATCACATGAAAAATGACTCAAGTAGTCCACGTGAAAGGCGAGGAAGCGGGGGACATAGGGGAATCTATATTTCTCAATAAATGATATTATTCGTTATTGCTCAGCAAAACAGATAAGCTGTCTTGAAATTTTATACTGGTCCTGCAAGACATTTTCACACATATCCTCAATTTTGGGAACCTCTCGTGAACAGTAGTTCATGTTATCTCTTACATAAGTAAGCAAGATGATTACATACCGATTTCTGGTATTCTGTTACCTATATAAAATCGATTATCCGTTTTATGAAAAATTCTTAAAAACAGAATGCTGGCTTACTTCGAAACTTTGAATATTACAGTTCTTATGTTTATTTTAGTATTATTAAGAGAGATAATGTTAGCCAATAGTATGTCATTCGAAACATCAACTTGAATATTTGAAGCTCATATAAATATCGTTGGATAGACACTACGGCTTGTTTATATATAGACTTATTTTTATTGAGGCCCAGAAACAGTGAAACACCCATTATAACAAATGATCTTTTCTAGAATAACTTACAAACAAAGGATTATATCGAGCTGAAGATCATTTTGTGCAACATTCCTGGTTCTGATCGGTTTAATCATCCTTCGTTCATACTCTGTAAGTATGTAGAAGAAACAAAGGAAAAAATTGGTGAACACCGAAATTATAACATTATTTTGGGTTGCACCGCGGCCGATGAACATGGTTTTGAAGAGCAAATCTCAGATCGTAACATCAATATGATGTACATTCTTGATCCACAGATCCAATCGGATGAACAAGTTTCGGTGGGAAAGAAAATAAGGAAAAACACAAGCAAAGGTCTTCTGAATTCTGTCGCAATACACGTCGGTGATCACTTTTGCGACAACGTATCAAAAAACAAAGAACTCAGCCGCTACGAGCGCGAAGAAATATGTGACAATATGAGGTCCTTGTTCGAACAGATGTCATCTTTGTGCGGAATTCCGCACTAAAGAACACATTACATTTCAACATTTTTTTATAGTCAATCCAGAGTACATCTCATATTCTGCTTTTTTGTCTGTCTAGAATCATTGTATCAGGTTTTTTTCAATAAATTCCTCGTCATTCTAATCATACATATACCAAACTTGGAATTTTCTCCACAAAGCCATCATGAATAACATCCTAGATGGAATGTAGTGGTCAGCTTCTCATTAAGAGTTAAAAATTCAGACGATACCTCGAATATCTTTTAAATTTATGAATATAGATTCATAGAAAAGATTCAACAATCAACTTGATTGTTCACTACTTATTCTTTATATAATTTCGGCGATGTGGGACAACACTTATCTGTAAAGAATTGAGCGAATTTGTTTGATTGAAATTGCTAGACATCCATAATCGTTCTTACATGTACCACTTACAATTTTGTATCATAGAGTCGAATAAATATGGCTCGATATGACGCATGCTAGAATTCAATACTTTGTTCTGCCATGGTGGTTAATGTGCCACACTCAGAACATTATAGCAACCTTAAACATCTGGTTTTCATTGATGCCGAGCACAGTGCATTAGATCATGGGTAAAAATGATCAACTAGTCGATATAATTTTACTTTCAAGATAAGAGATTTTTAGTCGTGCCTCGCACATGATAATCCTCTTTTATCAATATGGATCTCAGACCATAGATAAGACTTGAAATCTGAAACCAGAAATTGAGAACGACCAAGTCTCTGAATATGATTTCTAAAGGTTGGTCTATAAGTTTCGACCCCTCTCACTAAATCGATGATATTTACGACAAACTTATATGAAGTTATTGATCAGATTATCCCCTTGACTGAAGAGAGAGCCATGTGAAATAAAATGAGTT